CCCGAGGATCTCACGCGTCTCAAATGTGTTTTGTGACAGGACTTTGGGTCCTTAAGTGGCTTTGTCGAGACTTGGGAACTTTGTCAGTGGGCTTGTGGCAAAGGAATTTGCACTTGTCAGGCCCCCAAAGGCGGAAATCAAAGTACTTGGCTGCCACATCGAGCCAAAGAGGAGCAAAAATATGTGCCAAGGGGTCGAAAGGACGAAGACTTGGAGAACCGCAACAATTTTCTTGTTCCCATTTGTTGCTTGGCCTGCGGTTTTCCGACACACAGATGCAAACTCGCACACAGGAAGCCTCAGATGGCAGTTGGTTATATGCAATCCTAGGCAGAATAGTCATTAGATGTGGAACAATGTATTGGATCTTAAAGATTTGAACCCAATAAATGGATACCAAATATATATCCGATATTCGGATTTAAAACAAACAGATTAACACATTTAAATACGTTCATATTTATCGTATATGGTATTTATTGGTAATATACATTTTCAAAGCTTAGGTTCAAAACCTTTTTTTTTTTAAATATATAGGCATTGATGCTTTTTTTCATTATTATATTCTATCATCTTTTGTATAATTTTTGAATTCCATATTTCAACCGAAAAACTAAAGTGTGTATATGGTATTTTCCTAATCATTAACGCATGTCAAATAAGCAATATAAATGTTCAAAGCTTAAGTTCAAACCCCTTTTTGAATTTATTTTTAGTATGTATAGGCTTTCATGCTTTTTTCATTCTTATGTTATATCATATTTTTTATGACCAATATTTATGTATCAATGTCCAAATATCCTAAAAAATACTTATGTATGTAACTAGAACATAGAATTTGTTTCTTTTTCTCCCAAATACCAATGATTCCAGGGATCACGAAATGAACTTGTTCCTTAGTCAAGCCGGAAATTAAATTCACCTGACCTTAAACACACAAGCTCAAAGCTAAAACGACCAAAAAAAGAGTAGAGCAAAACATGCTCATTATATTTTTATTACAACCCCATATTGAGCAGCATGTTCAGCCATGTGTTAATCTATTTACAAAACCACATAGAAAGTAAAACATACATGAATGTGCAAAATGAATGTTGAATAGCAATCAAAAGCTGCCAACTTTCACCGCCGGAAGTCGGCCATCGCAAAATTTCATATGCATTTTTTTGCTATTTGCAGTCAAAACTTTATTTCAATTTTCGCTTTGTCGGCATGGATCAACTAGTCAAATTTATTTATTTTATTTCGCAAGTTAAATGTTTAAGTTTCTCTGGGAAATGAGAAATGACTAACCGCAAAATACATTTTCCGTTTCTCTCTGCGAAAGAACCGCTTAGTGATAGACTGCTGTTGAAAACTTGTATTGCCGCAAATGGTCGAGCATTTTGCTTGGCAGCCAAATCCTTGAGCTCTTTATCACAGTTTGGGAACACATTTAACCGAAACCAACCCACATCCTCCAGTTTGCGATTGGGGATTGTGTCTCCATTGTGAGGAGAACAATGCGAACATGACACGCCCGACATGGTCATGGCTTATGGCTTAATGAAGCGAGCACGTAAATGAATGTCAATATGGCCAAAACCAACAAGGGCAGCTGTGGCAACAAATAGCCGGATGAGGTGGCATAGTGGGAGGTCAAAGGCAAGGGGCGGATGGATGGCGTTGATGCCCCTTGTAATAGTTGCCACGCAGCTTTGACACCGTAACCCCCGCTCTCCAGGGGTTAATGGCCGGATCGTGGAGATGGAGATAGCCGGGCTATATCTATTCCCTGTTGGCCAGCTTGAAAATTGATGAGCATTCTTCCAGGCCATCGGTAATTCGATTTGCCGTGCGTGCGTGAATATAGTTGGGCCAGCAAATCCTTCAGTTGGACAGCCCTTGCCAAATTCTATTAAAGTTTTGAAAAATTAGAGCGATTTACACTCGCTTCATCAGGCCTGTGTTGTACACTTGGAAAAATTGATTTTTTTAATTGAAAATTTCCAGTTATCGCCTTAAATTACTAACTTTGTTTTTTGCTTTCGTTGTACTGAGCACGGGACGTATGAGTGATAATTTCTGTGTGCGTCCCCAAAAAGTATGCTATACAGATTATTAACTTTAATCAAAAGTCAAATAAATATTAAATAGTGATTTTTTTTGTAGCAAATTATGCTACAATGAGAACAAAATTCATCAGTATAAATGTACTTTGTACATTTTAAGTGCTTTTATATGCTGTATTTTTGAGATATTTAAATATTAAAAATGCTTAAAAAATTAAAATTATATTTTTTCTTATAATCTTTAAGCTCTGAGATAAACTAACAGAAAAATATAATTTTGATTTTTCGATGATGGTGTCGACGGGATGGTTGCTTTTTTTGGAGTATGAGCACTTTTTAAAATTTTTCAATTTGTCCTTTTTTGTATATTTCTTACTTATCAAGTATGTATATAAAATACACCAATTCACGTATGTTTAGTATATCTTTAGAAATTTTAAGAAAGATATCACAAAAAGGTGTTTTTGCCAAAAAAAAAGCCATAACCCTTATCACAATGCGTTAGTTTGCTTACGTGGCGTATGAGTGATGACCTCAAAAAGTATGCTACAGAAATATCAGTCAGCTGCGTGTAAAGTGAAATACAAGGTTTTTAGATAATTTTATTGCTAAAAATATTTTTATTATTAAAATACAATTTTAAGATTATAGACTAAGATTATTATGTTCTCCTTGAAATGCTAATAAATCGATTTTTAAAAGGCTTCTTGATTTTGTATACCCTCCGAACTTACACCAAGTTTGCAATGAATTTCGTAATTTTTGGGCGTGTATTTGTTGCCTTTCGGCTTTTTGGCATGCGGAAGCTCACTTAAGCCACTGTAATACGTGCTTATAATCCTTTATGCCAAAACACATCGGCAGCCAGCAGCGAGTCCTTGCCAACTAGAGAGCTGGATGATGGTGATGGGGTTGATTTGCTTGTCCTGGCCCCTGTCGTATTTGCAAACAACAAACAAGAGGCGGCAACAAAAAAGCCACAATACTTGTACATTGTGATTCTGGGCTGTTTGGCTTGCTGACGCTCTCAATTTCCTTGTTATGCGAACGGGGCGTATGAGTAATCATTTTATTACGCGACCCCCGAAAGCAAGCCGCACAGCGAATATCAGTTGCCAACACATGTTGACCTTTCTGCCATATAAGTATGTGTGTGTGTGTGCGACCCCAACATTACGTATACGCAAATTTGTCTGGCCCCAAATTAAAATAAATGCGCTAAGCATGCCCTAAAAGTTGCTGAGAAACATTTGCACATTTCCTCGTTTACGACACTCGTCCTCCCAAAGTCGTATATTTTCGTTAATTTGACTTCACGCCTAATACGAGCTTGGGTGCGAAATTGAAAAATAACAAAAACATATGATTAGGTATTTAGCGAAGGCTTACGGCTCAAGAATATGAATTTTATGGCAATTTTGTGACTTTTCTCAAGACGAATTTCTTTGAATTGATAAGTCCCAGAGATTGATGGTGCTTGAGATAATTATATAATAATTATTTCATTCATTATATTTATTTTAATGGTATCTTTTAACTTAAGGATATGCCTCAAACATTTCTATTCAATTTAAAGATTTAAAGTGCTTGAGATAATAAAATAATACTTTTTTATTTTAATTAATTATTTGAATGGTTTCTTTTAAGTTTTGGAAATGCCTCAAAAATTACTATTCTATTTAAATTTGGAAGTTAAATGGTAATTAAATGATAAAACTCACATTATTTATCTTTAAGCCTTTACTCAAAGCCTATACATACTATCAAAAATTACTATTCTATTTAAGTTTGGAAGTTAAATGGTAATTAAATGATAAAACTCATATTCTTTATCTTTAATCCTTTTCTCAAAGCCTTTACTTAAAGATTAAGAATATGAGTTTTATCATAATTTTGTGGGTTTTCTGAAGACGAATATCTTCCACTAGATAAGCCACAACGATTTACAGCGCTTGAGATAATAACATAAAAACTTTATTCAATAGAATTAAATTAATGGCATGTCTTAAGTTAAATAATGAAATAGATGACTGGGTCGTAAACTTCTAAGCAGATACGCCTGATAACCATATGGCATAATAAAACCTAATGCCTTGCATCATTGACTGCCTCATCGGCTAGCAGCTGAACTTTATGCATTCGCTGCTTTATAGTTGTTATTTATGTGGGGCCATAAACGGTGTTCCACTTCGAGTTCCCAAGTTTCCCAGCCCAACCAGCCCACCGGATCTCCCAAGGCGACGTCACTCGTTTTTTACCCCCTCTGCATTTCCCCCACGGCTTCCTGTACGTGTTCGCTGCTTGAGTTTTCCTTGGCAGCCAACTGATTTCAAATTTTCACATAATCGCATTTTCCCCTGTACTCGTATAAAAAAGAGAGAAAAAATAAAAAAATAAAGGGGGACACCTAGTGAACGTGCCACGGGAGAGTAGATACCTTTGAGATGCGGCCAGCAATTGAAGGAGCTGCAAATCACGGTGGGAAAATGGAACCCCAAGCCACATAATATTGTTATTATTTCAGAGCCACCTCTGCTCTGCCCACTCGAAAGCAAAACAAAACGTTACGAAATTCGTAATTGACCGAAGCGGATAAATTACACGGACGTTGACAAACTTTCACCATGTAAATTGCTCTACTGGGGGTCAGCCACCACATAAGGGGAGCTCTGATTTCTGGTCTTCCATTCTATCCCATGCCACCCCATGCCACCCTATACCATCTCCATGCCATTCCAATACCATACCGAACCCATCCATTGAAGGTGAAGCTTTTGCGCAATACACGAAATCAAATTCATTTAAACTGGCACCGCTGATGACGATGACGTAGGCACCACCCCAAAGCTTTCGGATCTGAATCCGTATCTGTATCTGTATCTCAAACTATATATATATGTATCTGTATCTGTATCTGTAAGTGCACGAGTCTGGGGCACACGTGCATGAACAGAACGGGTTTGACCGCCGGCCAGACGAGACCGATTTCCCATTCGCGTCGAGACTTTGATAGCGTGGACTTCTTATCGTCGCGACCACTCGAAGATGTGGCCAGTGTCATAAATCTCGAGGCAGTGATACCGATTGGTGGTCGAAATTCCAAAGCCCCAGTCCCCAGTTGTAACGCGATCGCCGTGGAGCGCAGACATGTCGGTGTCCTGGTCGAAGACTTTCGTGGCTCTCACCGTCGCCTGGCTGAGCACCCTGTGCCTGCTGCCCGTGGCCACCTTCTGCGACACCTCCTACTACGAGAAGTACTATGCGGCCCGTCGCTATGTGCCCCTCAAGCGTAATGCCCCGCTGCTCTTCAACTTCACCCTAACCCTGCCGGATGCAGAGCAACTGGCCTCCTTTGAGCGACCCGCCCTGGTGGGCAACCTGCCGGGATTGGGCTCTTGGCAGGCGGGTCAGGCGGTGCTCCTAAATCGCACGGCCGCCCATAATGTGTGGACGGGCTCCGTGGAGATCCCGCAAAACAGCAGCGTGGAGTATCGCTACTTTGCCGCCACCGTTGGCCAGCATGGAGCCGTGCAAATCCGCCGCTGGGAGTCGCATGTCCAGGCCAGGACCTTCAACACCACCAAGTTCCATGGCAATCGCAGCGATGAATTTGGACTGATTGGCGGGGAGCGCAGGTTGTCGCGTGGTTGGCTCCAGGACTCGGGCAGCATACTGCAACTGAAGGTGTTCCACCAGGCTCTTAGTTTGGAGGAGCAGCCTGCGGATGAGGGTCGTGGAAAGTTGCGCCTGCGTTTGCAGCCCGTGGATCCAAAGACCCTGTCGCCCATCCTCAGTTCCGCACGTGCCAGTGTAGAGTACGTGCGAATGTCCTATGGGGACAGTAAACTTCGGGTGCCGCCGGAGTACGGGGTGCCCTACGCCTCCGGCGACATCCTCATGTTCCATGTGAGTCTGGAGCAGTTGGACCGAGTGGCCTACGTGGTGGAAGTTTATGCCGAGGAGGCAGAGGAGGGCCTGGTCCGCCTGCTGGGCTACTCGCACCTGCAGCCCACCTCCTTCTCCGGCAGTGAGGGTAAGGTCTCCGTGGACCTCATCTCGCCGCTCTGGCAGCGCGTGGTGGGCAGTCTGCAGCTGGAGTACCTTCTCATCCGTCCCATGGAGAAGGATGGCTTCGATCTGCGCACCAGCTTTGCCCATTACTGGCGCACTAACTGGACAGCCTTGGAGATTGGCCACCGTGGGCTGGGCAAATCCCTGACGGTCACCACGAATGCAGCTCCATTGATAGAGAACACAGTGGCCTCCATGCTGGCCTCCGCCGAGATGGGTGCCGATCTCGTAGAGTTCGATGTGCAGCTGACCAGCGACCTGGTGCCCATCATTCACCACGACTTCTCCATACGCGTCTGCATCGACTCCAAGACGCCGACCAGCCGGGCTGACCTGACCGAGGTGCTGCTAAAGGACATATCGTATGAGCAGCTGAAGGATTTGAAGACCTACCAAATAGTGGGCAACAAGATCGTCGAGTATCCGGCACACAACAATGTGGAGCCGCCGGAGCAGCGACTCTTTCCCACCCTGCAGGACTTCTTCGAGCGGGTGAATCAGACCACGGGATTCGACATAGAGATCAAGTGGCCGCAGCAGAAGGCGGATGGAACGTACGAGAGTGTCCAGACGCTGGACAAGAACCTCTTCGCGGATCGCATCCTGGCGGTGGTGCGGCGATATGGTTGCGGACGGCTCAATGTGATCAAGAGCTTCGACGCCGACCTCTGCTCCCTGCTGCGCTTCAAGCAGCACATGTACCCGGTGCTCTTCCTGTCCAGCAGCAAGGAGAACACCTTTACCGATCCACGGACCAGCACCGTGGAGCAGAGCGTCAACTTTGCCCAGGCCCTCGATCTGGGTGGCGTTTCCCCTAACGCCGTCTTTGTCAAGGCGAATCCGGAATTGGTCGAACGGGCCAGGGCTCAGGTGCCCATCGTCCTGCTCTGGGGATCAGACATTAAGGATCGCGACTCCATCGATTGGTTCCTGCAGCAGGGACCCACTGGTGTCATCTATGACCGGCTGGACGTGTGGCTGGGCGCCAACAGGACGAGTGCCTTTGCGGCAGAGCAGGATCTGCCCGGATACTTTCAGCTACAGTGCGATCCGGCGCCCAAGGAGCGCGTGGTCAATGCCACCATCGAGAGCATCCTGAGTAACGTTAACTTCCTGTAGTCCCAGATTTCTGTAGAGATATATACTACATGCAATAAACGATCTAGAAAGTACATATCCTGGTATATTTCTTTGTAATATATATATTTAACGTTTATAGATTGCCATATAAAATGTAAAATTTAAATATATATATCTATTGATGGCTTTTTTCCGTTTGACTCAGCTTCGATATTAAATATTAAAAGGAATTTGTTGGTATTACACTGGGATACCCACCTCTTTTGTGTCCTGTAAGGGAAAAGAATAAGAGATGCCATTAAACTCGGGATATTTCCCTTGATTTATATGCGCATTTTCAGCGCAACTTTTGACAGAAGCTGCTTTGTTTTTGCGCTGATAAACATGAACGTGAACTTGAAATTTAAATCTTTAATGAAATCATTGCCATCAACATCAACCGCTGCCCCACATGTCATTCGTATGGGGGTTTGTACCCACTTCCATTTGCATTGAGTGGGGTGGTCGGTGGGTAGTGGGTGGTGGGTAGTGGGCGGTACGTAGTGGGCGGTGGATGGGGATGATGGATCAGCTTGGTGCTCTTCCCCCCCCCCCCCCCTTCGGCATGATGCTGGGCCAATTACCTGCAGAGCGATTTGCTGCTTTTTCCGGCGGGGATTGGGGGTATCCATGCATATGCAAATATTCGGGCATTTATTGCGGTCATTTATCCGCTCTGTGGGTGTAAATTCTGTTTAGCAATTTGTTGCAACTTGAAACTGGGCCGGCTAATTGGATTTTCAGAAATTCGCTTGCAAATTGCTTAGAATCACAATATAACTGCGATTATGCCGCAACAAACATGTTTATCAGCAGATATAATATACTTGAAATCGTAATGATTTAATTTATTATCGTACATGTTACCTCACGTGGTTCGTAATCTACGTAATCTTTGAGTGATTTAGATTTGGTGCGTGGCGAAAACAATATTTATTTTTCGGGTTTTCTTTGCTTGCAGCGCCAGCTGATGGAGGCCTATATCCGGCAGAAGAGGGCCTCTCCAGGAATGGTGCAGGCCAGTGATCTGCAGATCAACCGGCCGATGTCCGGAATGCGGAGCAACAGTCGGGAACTGCACGCCTACGATGGCCCCATGCAGTTCATCAGCTCACCCCAGAATCCTGACCAGATACTCACCAACGGCAGTCCCGGTGGCATCGCTCCAGTGGCCATCAACACCAGTCGCAACCACTCGAACAACATGCGCAGCCTGAGCACCATCAACCAGGAGGGTAAGTGGCCGTACACTCGAAGAAAAGGTATTGCACTTTGATATACAAACATATGCACTTTATTTTTAAGTTCCAACATTGCAATATTTAGTAATCCTTTAAAAAACTTTAGAAATATACAATTTTCTTAATATGTATGAAACTTTTATACCAAAGTCTATAAATGAGTATTAAATCTACACATCAAACCAAGAAAATTTTTAATTAATCAGTTGATTTTAATTTGCACTCCTACAGCTGACCTTATAGAGGAGATCTCATCGCACGAGCTGGAGGACGAGGAGAGCAGTCCGGTGACGGTAATTGAGCAGCAGCAGCCAGCCTCCCACAGCGCCAACTCGACGCAATCGCAGAAGCCGCATGCCCGCCAGCATTCCTTCAGCGACAACCTGGACGAGGACGACTACACCAATCGCAATGTGGCTGGGGCAGCTCCAGTGCGTCCCGCCGGCATGGCCTCGTCGCCCTACAAGGATGCGACGCTGGACGGCAGCACCAATGGAACGGGGAACGGGGCTGGCGGGGAATCGGAGGGTGATGTCATCGGGAACATCGACCAGTTCGTGATGCAGCCAGCACCGCAGGGAGTCCTCTACAAATGCCGGATCACCCGGGATCGGAAGGGCATGGATCGGGGTCTCTTTCCCATATACTACTTGCACCTGGAACGGGACTACGGCAAGAAGATATTCCTGCTGGGAGGTGGGTTAATGGATACTCTTTCTCCTCTAAGGTCCCCTCAACTAATATAACCATTTATTTCCTCAGGTCGCAAACGCAAGAAGAGCAAGACATCCAATTACATAGTCAGCTGCGATCCTACGGACTTGTCCCGCAATGCCGATGGCTTCTGCGGCAAGCTCCGCTCCAATGTCTTTGGCACGTCCTTCACCGTCTTTGACAATGGCAACAAGGAGAGCACGGAGAGTCCTAGACTCGACCTGGCCGTAATCATTTACGTAAGTCTGGCCATAGCAGCACGGTTACCTAATATCACATAGTATTATATGTAATACCATTTTACAGGACACCAACATCCTGGGATTCAAGGGACCTCGCAACATGACTGTTATACTGCCGGGCATGACTGAGGACGATCAGCGTGTCAAGATCAGTTCAGCGGATCCCAAACAGCAGGGCATTCTCGACCTATGGAAGATGAAGGTGAGAGGATTGGGACAATCACATATTGATTAAATATTAATTAAACGCACTTTACAGAACATGGATAATATTGTAGAGCTGCATAATAAGACGCCGGTGTGGAACGACGAAACCCAGTCGTATGTGCTCAACTTTCATGGACGCGTCACCCAGGCGTCGGTGAAGAACTTTCAGCTGGTCCACGACTCCGATCCCGAGTATATAGTGATGCAATTCGGTCGCACCTCGGAGGACGTCTTCACCATGGACTATCGCTATCCACTGTGCGCCATGCAGGCCTTTGCCATAGCCCTCAGCAGTTTCGATGGCAAAATAGCCTGCGAGTGAGCTGGCTAGGATCCTCGGGTTGGCCCGCTGCCTTATGTACAGCTATATTTCTGGAGATCGGCTACATTTCATGCCAGATCATTGTTGCAAATAGTATCGAAAATCTAGTCACTCGAAGAAGCCCGTCATCAATTTATGTCGGGATCGATAGAACATCGTTGATATAAGATATGTAGTATATACCATTATATGTCATTTATTCAGAATGTGCTCACCGATTTTATAGGAAATTATTTAGGACAAGTCCTATAACTTTGTAAATCTTATTGTGCCCCCTAGCTTAGCATAAGTTTACTTGTAAGCGAACAGAGGTAAATATCATTTAAGGTAAATATCAATTTTATAATCAGCATATAGCAGCAAATCATTGACGAATGTAAACTATTAAAAATGCGGATACTATTAGTCTGTAAAAGATAACTACTTACATGTGCTAGGCTCTAAATACACTTAAGCTGCTATAAATCAAAGAATATATTTCATTGTGTGTGTGGAAAAACATAAAATTTTTATTTTTATAAAATATAACAGAAGATGTATTAAGTTTGATGGCCGAATCAATAGTCTCAGTAAGAACTGCTAATAGTAATAAATACTTCTGGGGTTGAGCATCTGCTGTTGATCGCTATGCGGAATCTTTAATTTATCACCAAATAATTAATCACGCAGGATTATATACTATTATTGCAGGTTGAAATTGTAAGGAACGTTTTCATTATATAGTTTATGGAAACAATTTCGAAATCTACAAAATATATGGTTATTTAAATTACATTTTTAAGTCTTTTGGCTATGAGATCTGAATTTTGAAAATAACTATTTTTTTATTTCATATAGATATATATAATATAAAAAGATTAATAGTAATTAATCTCTTGATTGGCACATTCGTTTTCTATATTCTTGGTAGTTTTTGACTTTTTTGATTGCTTTCAGGAATTTGGGTTCATTAATTATCATTAATGTCCATCTAAAAAATATATGGTTATTTAAGTTAAATTTTTAAGTCTTTTGGCTATGAGATCTCAATTTTGAAAAACCTATTTTCATATTTTATTTAGATATATATAATATAAAAAGATTAATAGTAATTAATCTCTTGTTTAGCACATTCATTTTTTTTCCTTGGTAGTTTTCGACTCTTTGGATTGCTTTCAGGAATTTGGATTCATTAATTATCATTAATGTTTATCCATAATGTTTCAGTGTTATAGACCTGGAAATGAAGCTCGTCAAGGAATAAAAATAATGTTCGTCTGCACTTCCCAATAGAGTAGTAATGAATATTTTATAAATTCCATTATCTCTCTGGTTCGGGACATAAGGTGATCTCATAATGCAGTAAAGAAATAAATTGTAAAAAGAATGGTTGCAAAAAGCCTTTAAAACGTTTAGACGGGTACAAGAAAAATTAGATACAACTAAGGCTAGGATAACTTTGTTTGTGCATTGTCCTTCCTAAAAAAATATACTAGATAGGTAATTCAAGGAATGTTAAGCCGCTGATGAAACCGGGCTGCATGATGATGATTTCTTTGATGATGATGTTCCAGCCGAAGAAAACCAGGGTAAAGCCAAGATATTGACCAACTCCAATGCAAATGGAGGTATATCGAACGTTGCAGGGCTGGATCTTCGTAGAGGCCCACTTCCGCACCACGATAGTTTGGATGTGAGACAGAACGTACACCAGTGAGTTCATAAATGACAGGAGCAGGACACTCAAGAAATCTCCATTTTCTATTAACGAGCTGCTCACGCGAAAGAAAAGAACCACCGAGATGATAGCCTGGCCGCAACTAGCGAGTACCCAGGCTAAACGGCAACCAAGGGTATGGATGATTGGGCAACTCAGGATGGGAGTCCAGAGCAGGTTCCAAGTAACTGTCATTTCACCATGCAAATTGTTTGCAATTCAGAAAAACGAAATTACTTGTGGCTTTTGTATTTATAGGTACGCCCGACAGAAAGATCGCCACTCAACCCGAACGATGTCATGCAGCCAGTTGACCAGAGTGCCGCACTGTCTCTTTTTTGGCGAAAAAGATCCTCCCAAAATATGGGTTAGTTCGTGTAGTCAAGCCCAGACTACAAGATCAGCAACAACCATATTTCAACCATAGTTCATTATTTTCGTTTCTCTCTCTCCGACTTCATAGAATCTTCTGGAATCGTTCGGACACGCCAGCAAGAGAGCGCTTATTTATAGACTATAGATATACATATGTTATTTTTTTCAAACCACGATTCCACAAACGTAACGATCCAAATCTAAGTATGCAGATATGGTTATATACAGACATACGTCTATATTAACATAATTTAATGCCCATGAAAGCATGCACCGAAAACACTGTCGAGAAGTGTTATTTCTCTAACAAGAGCTATTTGGATTCGATACTAAAGCAGATTATTTTCTTGAATTTAGCCATCCGAAATTGCAAATAGAATACCGGCAGAATATCTTTGAAATGGTGATGCGTATACTTCCTTAAAGGCCCAAATTTTATCATAAAAAAGAAGTTAAGTTAAAATAGTATCTCAACATCTTCTAAAAGAGGTAGTATTTGGGGTGCTGAAAGACCAATGAAAGCTTTCAACTAAGTGATTCGGCAGCAGCTCTGAAATGTGTATCATATTGTTGGTAATAAAAACATCAACCAAATTATAGTCAAGGCCGCAATATGTTTTTTATATGTATCATTTATTTTTAGTACACGTTCTTACGTTATTTCGGTAAATGCAAGACTGCTAACCCACCACATATAAATTAGATAATCTATTTACAAAAGAAATATTAGTTGTCCCAATGAAAATGGCAGAGGACCGGAAATCCATACACAAAAAATGTATAAATATCTTCAAAATGAGTATATAATAGAAGTATTGGGATAATAACTAATAAGTACAACGGAATTATGTGGAATGCACCACTTTTTCACTTTGTGTTATCTTTATCAGACTCTGTATATTTCACAGAATGTGGAACCTTTCGCTCCATCAACTAAACTTTTGTCTTTTTACATGCTTATACTGATCTTTAAGTCGCGCTTACTTCTGCTACGATCGTTTACGCGGCTTGTGCGAGGGTCGATCCTGGGGCAGTTTGAACTCAAGGGGGTCATAGTCCTCGTACGCAAGCTTCCGCTCTGCCGCCGACTCAGGTAACTTGTTGATTTTCTGCAAACGTGCATGAACAATCTGCAAATGCCGACCGATATAGTCCTCGGCGGGTGCCAAGCGCTGGGCGTAGTGCAAACAGGCAGCGGCTTTGGCCAGCCTCTTGCGTTCCACGAACACCACGCAGAGGTTGTGCAGGCCTTGAGTGTTGTGGGGATCGTAGTGAAGTATGCTTCGATAGCACTTCTCAGCAGCGTCCAGATCCTTCATGTGGTTGATATAAATGTCGCCCAACAAGATCAGACCCTTGACATGCGAAGCATGATGTCGAATCAGCTGATTTAAGAATGGAACCGCATCCAGGGGTCGTTTTGTATCTGCCAGTAGCAGAGCCAAATTAAACAGTGCACTACGGAAGTCTGACTTTAGGTGTATGGCCCTCTTGAAGAACTGCTCAGCCTCATCAAAGCTCGACTCGTCCATGGCCAGCATGCCCAGGTTAAAATACACCTTCTCGTTCTGATCATCCTTGGCCAGTACTTTGTACAGACGGGAGCGGGACACACGGCGCGCCTCCTCGCCACCCAGCTCCTGCAGGAGTATTGCTGAGTTGAGCAATGCCTGTTCGTGGTCTGGGTACAGTTCGATTGCCTTGTTAAAGTACACCTGTGCCTGCTGGCTCTTGCCCTGCTCCAGAAAAACCACTCCCAGATTATAGTATATATCTGCATTCTCGTTGTCGTACAACAGAGCCTGTTCGTACACCTCCTGTGCTTGAGCTGTGCGATTCAGCTTCATGAGGATGTCACCGCGGTTGATGTAAGCCTGTAAGCCAACGAAGTCAAGTTATTAAGTTGATAACCAAGTAATAAATCAAGGGCTCTTACCTGAACATAGTCACTCCTCATGCTGATAGCCTGGCGATACAGATGGTCAGCTTCCTCTAGTCGCGTTTGATTCTTTGCTATGAGATTCGCCAGATTGATAAACACGTTCAAGTGATTGGGCGCTATGCGCGCATGGTAGCTGACCCCCGGCTTGGCCTGCGGAAACAGAGACTTGGCCTGAACATAAGCCTGCTCCGCTTCGGCATACCTCTTGAGATTATTAAAGGTGCGACCCACATTGATGTGGGCTCCGATGTCATCGGTCTGTATGCGCACGGCCTGCTGGAAGTAGAGCAAGGCCTCTTCAAACTTTCCTTCATTCTCTAAAGCGTGTCCCACGTTGTTGTACAGCTTGGCGTTGCGCTGATTAACATGCACGCCGGACATAAAAAGGGAATACTCTGTTCGCCAGTCTGAGTTCCGTTGATGCGTTTTTAGCGCGTGCGTGAGGAGCAGGATAGCCATAGTTGCTTGTCCAAAGCGACTCCATCTGAGACTCCCTCGACGCTGAAGCTGCTCGAAGCCGTAGGCCACCAGCAGACAATAACCCATCGATGGCATGTACAAAATGCGTTCTGCCACCACAAATCCTACGGGAAAGAAGAGATTCGAGGCTGGGAGGAAGGGCAGCACCATCCAGCCGAGACACATAATGAGCGTCCGCGATTGGGCCAGATTTCGTGTGAAGCATGCCTTGGCAACCAAGGCTCCTAGACCAAGGAAAGTGAAAATGGTAATCAAGTTCCGTGCATCTGCAAATCCCTGCAGTATAGGGACAGTGCCTGAAAAAAAATTCAATTAAATTAAAAATATGTTTATTTTAATATGTAAGCATGTTACTCACCCATTGTCCAGTCGCAGCAGAGCATTGATGGGCAAAGCAGCAGCCAGCAGTTCAGGTAAATGAGGTAGCCGAAGGTAAGTTGCCTCTCGGGCGTATCCGCTGCAGAGGCTGGATTGTCGAACCGCGTAAAGATGGGCAGCTGGGAGCCCATCACATAGACGCGCCCCACCAGAAGGGCCAACGTAATGCCGGCCAGGAATGTCAGACGTTTCCATAGCGTCGAAGGGGACCATCGTCGGATGCCAGAGGTATTTGTCAGCTTTGGCGACTGCTGTTCAGTGTGATCCTCGAACAGGCGCAGTACAAAGTGGCAAAGATGCAGCGGGCGCAGTTGATGCACCACGAACAACTCGTAGACCACGCAGATGCCGGCGATGGTTATGCCCTGCTCCTTGCACAGCATGGAGGCTAGCAGGCAACTGCCAAAGCAGGCGAAAAGCGCCAGCCAATTTGTCCGACGAGGGCAGCCCGAGTCGCCGACGGACTTTGCGTAGCTGAGAAAGGCGGCCAGGAAACAAATGGAAGAGAGCAATTCAGCGCGCCCGACGACGCCAGTAACGGCCTCCGTGTGTACTGGGTGCACGGCAAAGAGCAGCGAGGCCACAAAGGCGCATGTGTT